GTAAGGGGAGTTGCAAGGGCCGCCTGTGGATTGTTTCAGTGGGTTTTCAGTCCTTCAGCCTCCAGCTGGGTTTGACCAGTAGGGAACCCCGGAGGGCAAAGAGCAGGAGGGAACTGGGATTATGGTACTTGCGGGTTCCCTTCCACTGGGTTGCTTTGGCCATAAAGGTCTCAGCTCATGTTATAAGAATTCTGCATACAGGACCCCCTCTGGGTTCCTATAACTTCCCTTCAGGTCCAGGCTGGGTACTGGGGCTTACTGTTAACAAATCAGGAAGTCTGCCCTATCCCTTAGGGTTTCCCCACATCTTTTTCATATTCTTCTAAATGGTCACTTTATTACATTTATCACAATTGAATAGACCTGATTGATAAACCACTATTTGTGTGGCCTTGATCAAATTTCTTAATCTCCCTTAGCCTCAGTTTTCTCCTCTGTAAACTGGAATAATAAGTTTGTTCTAAGAGTCAAACAGGGTGAAGTATATAAGGTTCATTGTACACATAGGGAGCATTCAGTGAATGTTATGGTAATACTACAAATCCACAAAGTTGCTTAAACACTACTTTGGCTCTATAGAACTTCCTCCTCCTCCTCTCTTCCTACACCCCCACCTCTTTCTTCTTCTCCTTCTCCTTCTTCAGAGATTGAATTCAGAGGTGCATAACCACTGGGCCACATCCTCAGCCCTTTTTATGGTTTATTTTGAGACAGGGTCTCATCACTAAGTTGCTTGGGGCTTCACTAACTTGCTGAGGGTGGCTTTGATCTTATGATCCTCCTGCCTCAGCCTCCCAAGCTGCTGGGATTATAGGCATGCACCATTCCTTAGAACTTTTAACTTGGGTTGGGTGTTAAGTCGACAATCAATAAGACAAAAAAGAAAAAAGTTCCCTAAGGTCAAATTCATTTTAAAAATCCTATCAGATTATAGTATATTGACTTTTTGGTATTCAGTCCTGTGGAGTAGTTCTAATTCAAGCTGATGTTTGAGAACCAGTGAGCTAGATTTAGGTAAATCTGCATGCAAATGTCAGAATACCTTACCTCTTCCGCTTTTGCCATAAGTGTTCCTAGAGGAGACTAAGAGAGGCTAGAAAGCTCAAAAGCACAAAGGTGGCCTCTTACTGTTGTCACATCCACTTACTGCTGCCTGGGAGACTCAAAGTTTATTGTGAGGATTGGAAGGAGACAGCGGGGTCATACTTCAGGTAGGAAGGCTAGTGGTAGATAAGTTGGGTGCATGCTGCAGTGCCCATGTGTCCACGGTGGCCTTCATTGAGCACTCATGTCATGCCAGGCAATATATTAGCTCAACATTTCCCATGTTATTCTGTTAAATCCTCATGACAACAATTGTTATCTTCTCCAGTTTCAGAATGAGGAAGCTGAGAATCTGAAATGTCCAGACTAATGTGACACAGAGTCTAATCCATGGCAGGGGGTGATTTAAGGCAGGTCTGTCTAACCCAGAGCTGAGTCTTACCCAGCGGCTTACACTTCATGTTCCGTGGGCTCATAAGAAGAAAGGGCTGTGTTTTTATAGCTTTGCATATTAGTTGTCTAGAATAACACACAAGTGTTGGACTGAAAAGATTTTAACAGCTTGTATATGAAGACAAGAGGTTCAGCTTGGTAGCATATCTTTCTAAGTTTTCTCTTTTCAAAGGCTAAATACCAACTTGCTCCAACTATTTTTTTTTTTTTGGAGTCCTATTTCTGGACTCTTCTCCAACTTACTGAAGTGCTTCTAGTCTAACCATTCCTGACTTTAGCTGCATCATAGAATTAATCACCTGGGGATATTTTAAAAAAACACCCAAGCCGGAATCCCTCCGATGGTGTAGAAATCTCTAGCAGAAGGCCTTAGCCTTGTTACATATCTAAAAAACTCTCTCAGAATATTTTAATGGGCAGCCAGTTTTGGAAATCATTGCTCCATTCTGCGTTAAAAATGAGCTGGTGTGAACCATCGACGGCAGGAGCCCCCTGGGACCAAGAAAGAATTTCTTCTTAGACAGAGTTGTTTGTGGCGTGTAGTCCATATGATTTAATAAACCAGGTCCCCCAGGGCAGCTGAATGCAAATGTCTCTTCCATGTAGGAGGTGATGTCAGGGTTCCCAAACACTGTCATTTATAGAGAAGGTGGCAAACTGATATTTCTACTCCCATCTATATCTGAATTCCCTCAAACATGGAAAATGTAATTGAGTGGGTTTCAACGGGATGTTTTAAAAATTGAAAACAGCTCCAACATCTTCCTTTTCTGTCCTTTTCCTTACCCGGGGTTTACGTGGCCTTAGGAGCCTTGCTGTGGGCAGGGAGTACTAATGAATGGCACCGCTCTGCCCTTTGCTGATGCAGAAACTGAAGGATTACACGGCTCAATTTAAAGGGGGTGCTGGTAACAGAGTAGTGCTGCTGGGGTCATTAATATCTAGGCCTCCTGGGAGAGATCCTCATGGCTTTGTTCTCCAGCTGCCACCTCAGCAGAAAGGGAAGGAAAATCCCTAAATGGTGAAGGGAGAATGACAGGTTGTACACGTGACAACTTCAGATACAAAGTCACACATCTATAGGCTTTATGGGAAGGCAACTGTCAAGCATAATAACCAAGGTGCAAGAAGCCCTTTTCATTTACAAATTATTTTTAAGAAACACATTGACTAAACAATACCTAAATTCTTTGGGAGAGGAAAGTACCCAAAATTAAATGCTCAAGGATAAAGACGTGGTTAAAGCACTCTTTTCCCCCTTGAAAGACAATGCAGAGTTCGAAGAATTCTGAAAAGTCCGAGACTGAATGTGATGCAGAAAGAAAAGAGAAGAGGGGAAGAAAGATGGAGGAAGATTTTGGGACCCAGATTATGGGAAGGGAGGTGAAGAAAAGAGGTACATGGAGAGATATATTTATTTTTAACTTCTGTAAAGCTTCTCCCCCTCCTTTTCTTGTTATTTCCCCCACTTCTCTATTCATCCTTGGATGTTTTGCCCAAGAAAATGATTCTCCAAGGACCCTTAGAATTCACTGAACATTTTTTTTTGACGTTTACTGGGCGCCAGGTTCTAGTTTAAAGAGATTTTCGTGTCGCCTACATTTCATTTAGTTAGTTCTCCTGCTCACTGCTAGGCTGGGGATAATCTCCCTATTTTGCAGAGAGGCAGAAGTGAGATCAAGGAATTTTTTCCCAGATTACTGGGGGAAGATGAAGATTACTGGGAGATGGTGAAGAACTCAAGCTCTCAGATACCAGCGCCTGACAGTTAACCACCAAACGGTAGTGCGGGGGACCGTCTTCCCAAACACCATCTCCAGGGCCCGCTCTGCAAGTTTCCACGTGGTCCTCGGCAGTCCATTTTATAATCGGTTCAGCACAATGGGGCACCAAGGAGTTCCTCCTCTCGGCAAGAAGATTAAAAGCGACGGGTGCAGAGGACCGCCACCAGGGCGGTAGAGTTTTGAGGTCTCTTCTGGAGGAGCCTGGCAGGTCCCAAGCGACAGGCTTACTCCGCTCACATCTTCCAAACCCGTTTACACGTTGCAAATCTCCTTTTCACAGTCTGTTTAATTCTCACCGCGGCCCTGCAAAAGGGGTTATTTTGAGTCCCATTGTCCAGCTGAGGAAATTGAGCCTTTGCCTTCCCGCCGGTCACGGGGTCCGCAGGTGGCAGAGCTGTAGACATGTGCTGTGTCCCTGTCCCAGAGATAATAAAAGCTGCACGGGTCTCCTCATTATTATGCAAAGCCGGCCAGGAGGCATGGACCCTCCCTTGAGCGAGCCCATCTGTCTCTGCGCGCCTCCCCCGGGCTCAGAAGCCGACTGAGTGCAGAGTCGAGGGGGTGGAGGCACGTCCCCAGCAGCTAGCCACGACAATCTCTCCGCGCCTTTCTAGCCTGCGCCCCCCCCCCCCCCCCCGCCCCCCGCCCCAGGCCGACCTCTTTCGGTTAAAACAAACAAACAAACAACAACAACAACAAAACTATAGCTTTCCCTTCACCCCGCCCTTCGCCCCCAGGGAGCTGCATTAATATTAATCTTGATGAATAATTAAAGCCGAGAGATTTATGCGGGCCCCAGCCGGGGAAGGCGCGAAGCGGGGCAGTGTTTCGGTCGCGCAGCGTGCGTGTTTGGGCATTTGGAGTTCTGTGAGGCTCCATACCGCAGACGTGGGAGGATGAGGGTGGGTGTGCTCGCCGGTGGAGGGTGATTTGGGGTTGAGTGTGAGCTGGAACAGAGATGTATCAGCGAGTGAGGGTGAGCGTCGAGGCTGCTCCAGGGATTGGGGACGGAGGGGCATCCCGGGTCTCTGTGCTGCCGCCTGCGCTTCGCCCAGCTTGGGGTGACTTGGGGCCACGAGGACTTGAGGGGAAACAATAGCTACTCCTTAGATTCTGGGCTCCTGCCACGGGCTGCCCAAGCCTTCCGGATGACCGGCGGGCTTCTTTTCTTATTTGGCTAATTTATGGCGAGAGGCTAAGGGGCGGGATGGCAGAGGAGGGACCGCGTCTCGAGATGGGGGCTGGGGGTGGCGGTTAAAGGAGTCGCTCCAGGCTGCGGCGCGGTGATGTCAGCTTTCGACGAAAATAGAGAGGGATCGCCTGTAAATCCTCAGCTCCGGCGGGGCTAAACCTTGCAATCCCTCCCCGGCAGGCGCCGAGCCAGGGCGCCGAGGCCTCTACCACCTCCCCCGGCGCGCACACACCGGCACACGCGCACACGCACGCACACACTCCCCCGTACAGACATTCTCTGTCCTCCCCCCTGCCACCACTCTCCGTGCCCGCCACTCGGCACGCCAGCCTGCCCCGCAGCAAAGCACAGGTGGTAGCGGCGGCGGCGGGGGCGCAGCGTTGTTGCGCGCTCTCCTGTAGCCCCCGGGACAGCGCTGTCTTTGGGAAACCATTCTCCGAACCCTCCAAACCCCCCAGCGCCCAGCCAAGCGCTACTGCAACCTGCGTAGGGGAGCGCGGGACGCGCGCAGTGGAGAGCTAGGACGTGGATTAGCGCCCGCAGGAGCCTCCAGCGCGCGTCGAGGCGCTAAAGGGCTTACCCGGGAGGGGGGTGGAAGGGCGGAGAGAGGCTCCCCCTTAAATACCGCTCCCCCGCACACACGCGCTCACCCCAGCGCCGGCTCGCTCCCTCGCTAGCTGCTGCCGGACTGTGCTGAAGAGGAGGGGGCGTTCCCCAGACCATGGCATCCACTGAAGGGTGAGAGGGCCTTTCTCTATCCTGGAAGGGAAGTGGGAGCCGCTCGCGGGGTGGTGCCCCCCTATCAGGGATGGGGACCGAGAGATATCAGCGCCGGGCCTCTGAGATGGTGGCTGAGCCGTGGCTTGGCTGTAGGTGGGATGATGGGGAGGGGGTTGATTTTCTTTCGTGGAGCTTGCTGTTTAACGCTTTGAGGAAGCCGGGGACAGAGGGTGGTTTTAATTAAAAGGGATAAGATATGATGGAGGTGTGAAAAAGTAAGAAGAAAAAATTCTCTTGGGGTTACTTTTGAGATTTAAAAACAATGAGTGGTCGGCCGCGGTGTGAGCAGACACTGGCTGGACAGGCAGCGGACGAACGCCACTGGGGAGCGCGACGGGGGCTGGAAGGTGGGGGCCAGCCGGAATGAATGAGCCTGGATTGGGACCGGGGCGGGGCGAGGATCAGCGCGCGCGGCCTTGAACTCCAGATTTGCAGTCTCGGCGGAGGTGCTGGGACCCCTCGGATCACTCCTTGTCTCTGGATACCGGAATCTCCCTGGCCAGCTCTAAGGAAGAGTGGAAAGATTTGGGTGATTCCCGGGGAAGGCGGGAAAACCTGTGGTTTGGGGCAGAGCAGGAGTCCCCAGACTCTCTCCGGATCAATGTTGGTTTTTCTATTCTGCCTGCAGCCCTGGAGTCTCCCCTTGTCTCTTGAGGCTACATGTGCCTGGAGGAAGCTTCTAGTGATAAATAAGGGCAGTTGTCTTTCCTGTGAGAGAGATGGGGCTGCAAGGGACAGAAGGACCTGTTAACTACACGTCAAAGGAAGGGTCTTGAATCTTTATCTCCCAGGAAACTTTTGAGGTTTGCTGGAGTCCAAGTGGGAATAAAAAGACTAGTTGGGGAACTCAGCCCTTGGATTAATTTAAAAAAAAAAAAATGGTACCAGCCACTTGCAAAAGATCACTGGATCCATATTCTGTAAAAAGAAAATATCAGGGGCTCCTTTGGACCCAAGTGGAAAAGACATTGGTGCTGGTCCTTTTCAGAGTTTCTGTAATAAATGTAACCAACTTGGCAATCTCATTTTGGGCAATGGATCTCTAAGCAGAAGTGAAAAGCTGGTGTCCAAAGACAGATCTCTAGACTCCAATGAAAAGAAAATATTTCTAAAACTGTCAGTCGGTGTCTAGGGGAAGGAATTCACCCTTTTTCTGTCCTTTGGAATTCTTCCAAAGGGGTCTGGCATCTTGCATGGCATGACATTTTTTCTTTCTTTCTTTCTCTAAAGGTATAACAGCATAGATGACTTCTCCTCCTCCTCCTCCTCCTCCTCCTTCTTATTGTCATCATCCTCATCATTATTATTTTGCTAAAAAGATGCTTTGGAAAGACACCTGTGTACAAGAAGGGTGGATCTTGTACTAAAATATATTTCTTGAATTAAATATTAAGAGCCTGTATCATTCAGCATCAGTGCCTCCCCATGTTTAATTTAAAAGGTTTTCATATTAGAAAAGCTGTGAAGGTATTTCTGGCTGCCTCCAGGGGCCCTCTAGACTTACCCCTGCTTCTAAAGGTCAGGTTGGAAAATACCTGGGATGATATTGGTAGTAGGTGGGTGATGGTAGTCTTCTGAATCCTGCTCTCTTCTAGTTTTGATGGCCAGATAGAAGAGATAGAGGTTAAGGTAACATCAAAACTCCCCAAACTAAGGGTGATTATCTCTCCTATGTCTTACATGAGAGCTGCCAAATGATTGTACATTAAATATAGAGCAGAAGAGATTTTTAGCATTAAAAAATGATATATAACAAATGTTATCTTTATGCATTGTGTGTATTTAAGAAAAGATTGGCTAAAGGTACTTGTATGTAAGAAGTGAAAGAATTGAAAAAATAATCGGAAAGGCTGGGAAACAAATGTCGAAATATCTATGATCCATTGTTATTTAAGAGCAGTAACTGATAGGCAGGAGACATTCTCAAAGTCCTTCTGCTTTATTCTAGGAGCATTTCCTGAGTCCTTCATGTTAGAACATACACCCTAGGATCTCTGGGGGTGGGGGAGGGGGACACAGATATAAACAGACCGGGAGCTGGCTTATAGAAGGTTGGTTCCAGCAGAGAACTTTCAGTACTAAATTGTTCATGAGGAGTGATGCAATTCTTTCCTCCTCCTGATACATTTGGTTAATGCATTTGTAAAGGAAAATTCAGGAAGAATCCCTGGGCTGGTGTCCTTTGTTAGCTTTTGCCCTCTAACAATATTAAAGCTATTTCCTTGAAACACACATTGCTGAGAAGGAGGCGAAAATAGCGATATAATTATACGCTTTCAATGTATGTATTTTCAGTTCAACTCTAACCCGGAATGCATGGGGAATTTAACGCTTAGGTGTTGATGTAGTTGCCATCAACAACATAAGTTGATTACTAAATTTTAAAGACTTATTAGCCAATGACATCTAATGTTTATCACTCCACTTTCAAAGATCATTCATGTACATCATCGTGTTTGATTCTTCTAATAACTCTATGAAGTAGGTAGTCCAAAGAAAATAGAATAAAACTATATGGAATATAATGCCATCTTTCCAGGAAGATTCTAGGATGTGGCAGAGCTTTGGAGTTATCATCTGGAATATTATCTTCAAATGTTTTCCTTAAGGAGTTTGTAGGCATGGCTGTGCTAATTATTGGCTTTCTATCAAATCTTTGGCATGCATGTCCTGTGAGTTGTCTTTTAGAATGTTCTTTTTATAACTTGCACTTGTCTTTTGGGGAACATCCTCACCACTGTCTGGTAATTCAAGTTTTCTGATTATTTGGAATTGAGATTTTTTTTAGCATCTAGTGTCTATAAAAACTAACAGTGACTCTTTGGACTCTTTGATGGCACTAAGAAGTGCTTTCCTACATAGCATGGTCTAATTTGATAGTTTAACTTTTTTTTTTTTTTCTCCCTGAGTCCCCTGTCATGGTTAGAATTACTGAGATGGCTTTTAGGTCCCTGACCCAAATTGCAAAGAGATTACAAGTAGTTGGTGGCAGACAGGCTCAAGTCCTTTATTGACTGGGTCACAGTGGAGTGTTCAGATGCTGAAGAGACAGGCATTTTAGAAATACATTCTTAGGAGTGGGGGACAGCTAGGTCACTACATATATCAGAGACTCAACGCGATCTGTCTTCTGATCAGCTCCCAGGAGCCAAGGGGTCAGGGCAAAAGACAGTCTCGAGGGCTTGGGTTTCAGTTTGACTCAGAGCAAGTGAAACAGAAAACTGCTGATAGCAAAGACCCTGGTGGAGGAGACCCCTGAATTTATTATTTGAAGCAAAAGAAAACAAAATGTAACAGTTGCTTTCTCCCTTTTTCCCTGGGGAATGAAGTTGAGGTCAGCTGGGGGAAGAGCCCATGGAGTGGGCTTATTTCGGGGGTGAGTAGAGGACATGGGGCTTCAGTTCTAGAGGGGTTTCCATATTGTATGCCTCAGGCTGTACTGGGATTTCATTTCTCATTTTAGAAATATAGAAATTGGTCTCCTTGGGTAAAACAGATATTAGTAGAGCTATAAGAAAGCCATTTCATGTTTACCAAGACAGTCTCTTGTGAGCAATCGAAAGCTTAATTCTCAAGAAATAATTTCTAAATCCAAATGAAACTTGCAAAGTGTAAACACCAGGTTATTAAAAACCAAAACACATGTCTGCACATTAATATCGATGGTTGCTTCTTTTCCTCTTTTATGCAACACAATTAGATGTCTTCCGTTTGGCTTTAGTTTTGAGGGATGTGTAAGACAAGGAGAAGTCCTCTAGAGATGACACTTTGGCTTCAAAAATAAGCAACATTTAACAGCCAAGTGTGAGATTTCTGGGTCAGTATGCCATAAATCCTACAGTTCCAGAACTGCAAATCTCTTTCACAGTCTGAAGCTCAACACAGGTTGAATTCAATGAAAATTCCCTTCTGACATTTCCCTCATGGCTGTACCCACACAATGCCCACATGTCTGTTTTCTTCCTTTTACAGGAAAACTAAATTGTTCTCCATATCGAATTTTCTTCCCCAATGGACTGGCTTGCCTCTCAGAATGAACCAAATCTCCTCTTTATTTCAGTCACCTGCTATAATTATTTTAATCTAATAAAGCACTAATAATTTAAAATCCTCTAGCAATCATAGACATCATTCTCAAGGTAAAATTTTAGTTTTGTTTGCATTTTAAGAACTTGTCCTCACAGTCTGGAAAAATAATTCCAAAAAATAACAAAAGCCAGACATCATCTTCCTTGCAATTTTTGCTTTCATGCCCTTAACAGCTTGTTGGGGGCAGACAGGATGCTTCATAGAAAGGGTTTTAGAATCCAGATTATGGCAAATCTCTTTATTTACCAGGATTGTAAGCTTGCTCTCCTTCCCTCTGTCCACCCCTCACTCTGCAATACTCCAAACGCCAAGTCCTTGGGATGAATTAATTAATTTAAAAATATTAATTAATTCATAATTTAAAAATATCTCATTGCTCCATCTCCATGTGCCCCATCATTGATTGGAGGCAGATGGCTGCATATTCACTAGTAGAATAGAAAAGAACTGGCAATGCATTATAAACCTGTCTGTTTGACTTTAAGTAATGGCAGAAAAGACAATGGATCAACAGTATTAATGGAGAACGAAGGGTAGACATTTAGTCTTTTAAAGAGAAGAACTCGTTTTCTTAATGCTCTCTGTATGTGTGTGGGGGGGTGTGTTTTCAAGGTGTTTTTCAACAATGTTGATATTTACTCATTTTTTCTTTCATTTATTTACTTAATGTCTCACTTAGATGGGCAGCTGTGACTGCTGCCTGCTGATCCACTGTCTGGTGTCTCGGTAACCTTGCCAGCTGCTGTGGATTACAGACTTGTTGAGCAAGAACTGTCCTTCGAAAATGGAAGGAAGGAAATGAATGCCATTTTGGCAGATAGACTTGATCTGTGTCAATATGGTTCCTGTCTAGGATGGATGATGGCAAA